ACTTGCATGACCATCTCAGTAGAAGTTAGAAGTACTTAATTTATAAATTAGTTCTTATTCTGTAGGTCTTTTTGACCCCTTCTCTTTCTGTAACTGTTGTTGTTAGCCTTGCTGTTTGCTGGACTTTATACTCTGAGTTACACAGTGTGCTTTAGTGAGAAAAAGTGTTTACCACACTGAAAATGTGGTGTGGCTTTATTAGTAAATTCAGCTAGTGGAAAGACAAGAGAACTTGTTTGTCTTTCACACAACTGGAGAGCAAGTTTCCAATGTGGGTTTTTCATGTTAACTGTGGCTAGAATTACTGCTCATGTCTTAAATACTAGCCAGGTGTCAGTGAGCTATTTCCCTTTCCATAATACAGGGAAAAAGGTAGTGTCTTAGACAAATTAAAAAGCTACTGCTGACACTTCTCTCCCCTCCCCAGCAGAGTCAATGTAGGAGGAGACAGTTTCAGTGGGACCACATACCATGGTCACTATTGCCAGAGGGAGGATGCGGTCAGCTTTCTCTTAAACATTTAGCTTGGCCTCCACAGTCTTGTGCTTGGTGAACCTCACTGGCATTGTTTTACTGGGTAGTTTGTGGGGAACAGCTGGCTAGTGGTTCTTCTCTGTTTTATTAGGCAATGTAGTTCATAAAAGTTGTGGCCTTCAGCTTAACCATATTCCTGTGTGGAAAGTCTTGTTCACTGCAGCTTTTGGGCCAGAGACGTTTACATCACTGCAGTCAACAGCATTAAAAACTGTTACTCCTTATGTGACCTTAGGTTAGCAGGAAGCAAGAATGGAAGAATGCCCTTCCAAAAGCAAGGATTTCCAACTTGAGTAGGAACTGTTTTTTACGTGTATGAAAACAAGTCATTATTTACCATTTCCACTCAGTTGTCTGTCTAGTCAGGCACATTAATCACTGAGTTTCACTCAAGGCACAGTCATCAAGCAGTGCAGAAGAAAACAGTGTCTGGTAAAGACATTAGAGATGATACTGATGATGTAGAAACAATTTGGGTTTTATTTGCAAATCTGTAGTGCAATTAAAACCAACAGCTGCTCTCTACTCTGTTCCAGAGATGAGTGGCAAACCCAACATTATAATGGAAGTAAATATATTTTCTTTTTAAATGCGCACTCCATTTTTGTGGCAACAATTTTGCGTTTCTTTTCAAGGACACTTTCCTCATTCAAACAAATGGAACGTTAATTTCCACACTGAAGAAGAGGAGTGTGTGCAGATCTCAGCTACAGAGACTTGAAACAGAAAAACTGGTATGAATGAAACTCAAAAGAGAATGAGTACTGTTGTGTAAGCATGGGAAGAAAAAGCAGAACAAATGTCAAAAGAATGTCTTGCGTTGGTAACAGAGGACACAGTTCATGTCAGTCACCCTGAGAAGTGTGTTGTTTCCATCAAGTGCTCTAAGGACAGCCCAGATGACTTGGTAGCTAATGACCCTGCATTCTTGAAGAGGATGGCAAAAAGGTTGAAGGCTCTCATGCATGCTATTCCTTTTTCTCTCAGCTTGATTCCACCCCATTCAGCTTGATTCACACCTTTTCTCAGAGCTTGGGAGAAGCATACATCTATTTCCTATGTAGGCTATGATTTTTAGTGCTTTTGTAGATACTTGCATAAGGGAATGCAATACTACATTCTAAAAAAAAAAACCTCCCACATTCAGAGGTCTATTTTGCATTTGTACAGTTTGCATTTGCAAACACGGTGGACTGTGCATGTCACAATTACTTAGGATAGGTAACTTAAGAACAAGGAGGCAAAGGAACCAAAAACTGGAACTGTGCTATTTCTTCAAACAGAAACTGATTATCAAAAATGGTTTTCTAATTAAACTGTAACAAATGACGGGAGAAAAAAAGAGTATTTCTGACTGCCAGCTCAGAACATGAGCAGAAATGAAAATCAATGGCTTGCACTAAAAAATTTAAACTGGTTGGTAGGGGAAAATGCGAAGAAGGGAACAAGAGCAACACAAAAATTCACAGGGGCCAGGAAAGAAAGTTCCTTTAAACCCAAATGAGGTGAGTTGGGTACCTGGCTTGGTCTCTTGAGACAGACGAAAATGTTGCATAAAAATGTGGACTGTGAAGAGTGAATACTAAGAGTTCCTACTCTTGTCTCTGACCTCCAGAAATTCCCACAGATTTCCCTTTCCAGCTCTCCTTTCCTACCTACATATAAGCTCTAACCCTTCCATTGCTGCCTGTCTCCTCTCCTAAACATCTCTGGCCTGTCCTGTCACACTCTACTACCTCTGGCTCCCAAAAACTCATTCAGAAGTTGCAGTGATTCTACTTAGGGAGAGTGACAAAATACAGACAGAATGTCAAATAATATATATTTATTTAACAATATATATTTATTTTCTGTGTCATGTGGTGACCCAGGCACTTTTCAGTGGAAACTCCATTCAAAGTAACTGCTCAAGGATTTCTTCTTAGTATTTTAAAAATGCATAAGAATTTCAAATTATTTCTATACCACTATAAATGTTTTTGGTTTTATTTTATTATTTTTTTTTTTTTTACTGCGGTGATCTATTTGTTAATTCCAGCGCTTTTCAACACACTTTATATATTTTCTTTAACTGTGAAGTATCAAACACTTTAAGACTAACTTCCTTTCATCTATAAAGTGCTATCCATATTTAATAAGGATGGCAATGATGGCATTTAGTAAAGATGGCAAAAAATAGTTAAATTTGAAAGCCTCACAGAGGGGATGTGTTGGTAGCAAAAATTGGTACCACTCTGTAAAATTACCACATCGTGCTGTTAATGTGCTTGCTGAACATCACAAGCAAGATATGTAAAGATTTGCAGTCAGATTGTTTGCCCTGTTATGCTACTAAAGTTAAATAATGGTAAACAACACTCTTTGGTAGAATTATTGTTAAAGCATTAACTCCACCAGGCAGATTTTTTCTTGTACACTGATCTTTTATATAGTAAAAAATGGTTTTAGTAGATCCCTATCATTCACAGACTTAAGCAAGGAGGTTTTTGGGAGCTGAGTTGCCCAATTGCATCACTATGCCATCTCCTGGGGTAGTTTCCATTCATTTTTCTTAGTAGTCAATAGCAAGCATGCACGTTTGTCCACACCAAGTATTCACTGCATTTCAAAATATGTTTTAATATATAACTGTTTATTTAAACAAATCAGATACACAGCCTTGAGACAAATGTAATGAACACAACATTGAAGATGAAAGGGAAGCAAATTAAATTTTGGGATATTTATTATAACACACACATTTCTTTGTGATATTTCAAATGAAAATACACGTAGTCTGGACACCTAGAGCACCTTGCTCTCTTATCATCCTGCCTTTGCACACGCAGCTTCTCATCTTGTGGGTTAAATAGAACCTGTTCCTCCTCAAAATCATCAGAAAGCTTTAAAATAATAGTTCATATTTATTTTTTTTTAATGTGACTGAGGTGGCATTTCAGAAATATGAGCAGTTCCACCAACAGTGGTTTATCAAGCATGTGTCTGCCCTGGAGTGAGATGCGGAGCTTTTAAATGTGTAATGCCAATTGTACAACTATTCACTATGTCAGAAATCATAAAGGAAAATTCCACATTTGTCCCTATTGCTCTTCCTTCCAAGAGATGCTGTCCAGCTGAGCTGTGATGCTGCCCTTGCTGAAGTGCCAAGTTAAGAGGACTTGCAGAACAATTTGCCTAAATGATTATCTGAAGTGGAAAATAACAAAGAACACATTAAATTTGATTCAAAGTAAGGAGTGACAAAGGTGTCTTGTTTTCCATTAGAATTTAATGTACTTTATGGTCTATCTACCCCCCTCCTTTTTTTTTTTTTTTTTTTTTTTTTTTTTTTTCCAGAATGCCATTGGAAAAGAATTTAGCCCCAATTATGCAACTACATGAATACATGATCAATAAGGAGCCTTCTTGATCCAGCTGAGGGTTGAGTAAAACAGTGTACTTGTAATATTGGAAATTTCAGATATACATTTCATAAAGAAAACCTGAAAGAGACTGAAACAGGTATGATTGCTATTCAGACATGATACAAAGTTGTTCTAAAAATTCTTAGCTTGTTATTGAATCCATTAAAATACATCTATTAAAAGAGTTCCAAATGTCTCTGTTCAAACTGTCATAAAAACAATGCCCAAAGAATTGTTGTCACTCATACTGGAAAAATATATCAAATAGAGGCTTGAAGAAATTTGGTACTATTGGATATCATTTTTAATGACTTTTGAATAGAGCGTGTGGTTCTTAGACTTCCAGATATAAGCAAGTTGAGATGGTTGGCACGCATTTTGGAGGAAAACATTATAAATAAAATTTTATTTTTATTTAATGTTGCAAGTATCCTGAAACAGGATTAAATTCAGTGGGGAAAAGCAGAAAGCACTACAGTCAAACAGAAATAAAACTTCAACATGTATGAAACCCCAACAACAGGAGAGCATCCAGAGGCTCTTTTAGTAAGTCAGGATTCATATGAGTCAGCAATGTCATACCGTCAAGAAAACAAACATCATACTGGGATATATAAACAGAAGTCTCCTACGCAAGACACATGAAGTAATACTTCCACGCTGCTCAGTATTCCCAGGGCCTCAACAGAAGTACTGTATCCAGTTTTTGGCACAGTACTGCAAGAAAGTGGAGAGGGGCCAAAGGAAAGCAACAAGAATAATCAGAAGTCTAGAAAAGACAACTGAGGGAAAGACTGACTGAAGAGGAGTTGTTTAGTCTATGGGAAAGATGACAGGCTGAAGGGACACTGGCAGTTTTCAAGCTCAGGGAAGGATGATGCAAAAGAGGAGGTTATAGTCTGTTCTCCCTGGCTATATAATGTATTTTATATGTAATAAAGTAATGGTCTAAAATTCAGCGAGGGCTACCTTGACAAGTTTTCTTCCTGATTGCTTATATGGATAGAAAAGTTCTGAGACTGTGTAAGAAAGTGGTGGAGTCCCCAGAACTAGGATTGTTCAGTCTGCAGAAAATAAGGCTCCAGAGTGACCTTAGTGTACGGGCCTTTGCGTACCCCCCTAAAGGGGAGATGAGAGCCAGAAAGCGACTTCATACACCTGCATGCAGGGATAGAACAGGGGGGATGGCTTTAAACTGAAAGAGTGCAAGGTTAGATTAGATATCAATAAGAAATTGTTCACCGTGAGGGCGCTGAGGCCCTGGCACAGGTTGCCCAGAAAAGCTGTGGCTGCCCCAGCCCGGCAGGGCTCCCGGCCAGGCTGGACGGGGCTTTGAGCAACCCGGTCTAGAGAAAGGTGACCCTGCTCATGGCAGGGGCGTTGGAATGAGATGATGTTTAAAGTCCCTTCCAACGCAAGCCATGCAGTGACTATGATTTGCCTGCCGTAGCTATTTATTTAGCTGCACCAGGTAGCGGCCACCCTCCGCCGCCCCGGCCAGCCCCAAACGAGACTGCCCCGTCCCTCAGCGGGGGCGGCCGGGCCGTAGCCCCGCCCCCGCCCCGCCCCCCGTTGCTTGGTTACCGCGCAGGGCGTCACTGCGGGGCCCGAGCCACGGCGGAGCGCGGCCGACGGCCGGGCTGAACCATCTTCCTATCCTGTGGGGGAACAAGTGGGTGTGTCCCGAAGCAGCAGCTGGACTTGTTGCTGTAGCTCCCGCCCTCAATTTACCGTTTACCCCCTTCTCTCAGCGCTGTCGGTGGTTTCGCCCCGCGCGGACCATAGCGACGGAGGGCGCGCCGAAGGAAGATGGCGATGGTCGCCTCACCGTTGCTGCCGGCTTAGTGAGCGCGGCGCTCGCTCTTCTGTCTGTCCCGTCCTCGCTCCTGCACCCCGCTCCTCCCGGCTGCTCGCAGCCTCTTCTTTCTCGCCGGGGCCGTAGAGATTATGTCGGACTCGGAGGAGGAGGAGAGTCCGGACCGCCAGCTCAAGCTGGTGGTGCTGGGGGACGGCACCACTGGCAAGGTCAGTGCCGGCCCCGCCGGCAGCTCCTCTCCCTCGCCTCGGTGCCCCGAGTCCCTTCGCGGCCTTCCCTCTCAGGCTGCTCCTGGCTCTGCTGCTGAGGAGGGAGCAGCCGGCGGCGGCTTCCAGTCTGTCGCGGAGCCGCTGTCGCGATAGCTGGCTGGCTGCTGCCCCTCGGCTCCAGGCCCCGCGCGGGAGACGCGGGCTCTTCCCGCCGGCATCCGCGCCGTGCCCGGCAGCCAAACCTTCTGACGGGGCTTCCGCACCCGCGCAGGTATCGCCAACAAAAAGACGTACACGACTGTAATCCAGTTTTCTTGAGCCGTAAGCAAAGGAGCGGCGAATAACGTAATTCGTGTTGTGCTGACGGAGTTTCCCAGGGATCCCCGTGCGCTGCCGGTCGCGCCCCGGAGGCAGGAGCTGCTCGGCCGGAACAGCCCAAAGCCGTTCTCGGTGGCTGCAGTGCCCCGGGCGTGGAGGGCTGGGGTCGGGCCGGGCTGAGTTCGCGGCTCCCCTCCAAAGGGACGAGCAGGGAATGTCGCTTAGCTGGGTCTGCAGGCGCCCTTCGTTTCGGATACAGGGCTACCAACCTCCCGAACTGGATAGAACAGTTTGCATCTTGCATATGTTTTATGCATCTGTGCGTATGCATAGATGCATAGTGGAGTTACTGTTCCAGAGTTTGGAAAGGCACTGTTAGGTCTGTTTAGTTTTCGTTTGTAGCTTTTATGTTTCTGGGGTTTTTTTCCCCTATCTGTAGTCACCATAATGAAATCCTGTTTATAAAAATTTATTTATCAGCAATAATCAAAACAATCAAACAATAATCCAACACATTTCTCTTTGTAAAAGAGAAATTTTGACAAGGAGTGACCAAAGGCGGCAAAAGAAAGACTGCTTTCTTAACCATTTAAAATAGTCACTGCTCTTAACTATTCCCTTAAACATATCGATTGTCATATGTAGCCTGAATAATTTTGTGAGATACACCTGTAAATAGTAAATTTATTGTATGATTGAAGTATACAGTTCTTTCCTCTGTTGTTAACTTTTGAAACTACAAGGAGAAGAAATTCTGCTTGCTTTACAGTTCATATGAAAAGTGGAAATGTTCATAGAACTGGTTTAAATGAACTGCCTTACATTAATAGGAATAAGCTCTAAGTGAAAGTACATGTGGTTTTGCTCACTTACTTATTCAGAGCTCTAGAAAGAAACAAAACTTTTTTTTTTTTGTCTCCAGTGATTCTAAACCCAGTCTGAAGTGGTATTGTGTTCATCCGAGTCAGTAGATGGGCAGTTCCAACCAGCTGTGCGATGAGAGCATAATAAATGCACAGCATTGACAGCTGAAGTGCTGCTTCATGGGTAGCATTTCCCAGGAGTTTTCCATTCAAACTGAAGAATCCTTTCACTATTGCTGTTGAGCAGCTTGTGGCAAGACCTCTCGCCAAGCGTGGATTTTCAAGCATTCTTGAGTTTTGATGTATATTCCTGTTGGTTCCTACCTCTCTCACAGGTGCTGCCACTCAGTGCATTTCCTGCTGACTCTGGGAATCTCACGCTTCCATGGCAGGTTCTTGGGCACGAGCAGCAGCAATATTCTGGTGGGCTGCTTTTCCTCCCGTCCCCCCTAGATGATGCTGTAATAGAGGCTCCTTCCCACCATCCCAATGGCCTGGCAGCACACACAGATTTATTGTAAGGTCTTGTAAAAATAAAGAAGCAGTTGGGTCATGGAATGGAAGGATAAAATGTATCTGCTATTATTTTTTACCTCAGAAGACTAAATTGTTGAGGTTACTCTCTTTTGTTGTCTGCTCGTTCCGCTTACTTGTTGAAACCTGTGTATGTCTGTGTTTTCAACTCTTAAATTGCCTGGCTCTCACATCTGGTTCACAGCTGGTCGTTACACACATGCATACTTATCTCTCTTTTACTGTGCAAGGTGTTGGCTTTTCTCTTCCTGTTACTCTGGGATCATGAGACAGGAGTGTGTAGAAAATGATGGGATATATCTGAAATACTGTATCTTGTGTTTAGTGTGAGGTGTTCATATTTGGCTTCTTTTGCCCCCTCTTTTCCAAACCAACAACAACAACAAAAATTGTTGTTGTGGGTCAGGTGGAAACTTGCTGTTTTTCCTCACTCATTGCTTAGAAGCAATGTGACTCGGGTTCTGTGCAAGGATTGGTAGCAGATTAAAAACCAATCAGTTCAAGCTAATGTTTGTACTTACACTAGCTAGGAATTGCTCTATCCATGAGGCAGGGGAGGCATGCTGTGCTTGTATTAATTTGTTTTGAGGTGGTTGAATTGATAATTAGATACTTAGAATTTTAAGGATAGCAATAAGTGCTGCTGGAGCAAACAAAAGTAGAGGAGAGTAAAAGTGAAAAAGGCATAAGAGAAGTGAGACAGAGTAGCATCTGTAAAACTCCTAGGGTAAAATAGAGATGGTAAGGTCGTGGTGAACTGTGGAAAAGCAAAATTGAGGGAAGCAAGACAGGTTAGTCAGAAGATAATAGAGGATGATTTTAATGAACTAGACAGACTAGGAAGACAATCTAAAAAGCAATCAGAAGTGGGGACAATGTGAGATGAAAAAAATCCAGCAATTATTAATAGCAGTTGGCTTTTGGATTTTGAATGTAGGAAGGACATATATACACACAGCAGCCTTACATGTCTAGGTTTTAAATCAACCCACTCTTCCTGGGCCAAAATGATTTTGCATTAAAATAAACCAACATTACTAGTATGGATTGAAAAAAAAAGACGTTATGATCCAGATATTTCTACTCTTTTTCTGCATAGATTGGTTTAATACTGAAATATACAAGGTTGCTGATTTGAGATAGAATATTATGATTTGCTAATGTTGAAAAAGGTTTTGGGCCTCTGGAAGTAAATCTCAGAGCTGTTAATGGAAAGGGAGGTCCTGAAAAATAGGTGTGCTGAGGTTCTGTTTATCTGCTATCTGTTGTAACTGGAACTAGAGTATGGTAGCAGAAACATCCTACCTTTTCCTTCTGGTAACAATGGATGATGAAAATGAAATAATGAATGCACAAGCTGGTATGGGAGTTGCAGGAGCTTAAACATAGGCTGGCATAAAAAGTAGTGTCCTGCTTACTTTAGGATTTTTTAGGATAGCAGATTTTTAAGCATTGTGCCAATTCTGAATTGTCTTGTTACACTTGGACTCAAAAACTTCGTAGATGGTGACCAAGATATTGTTGTCACTGTTGAGTCTTGCAAATGGAAAATTGAATGAAGTGTGCTGTGCAGATTGGCCCAGCTGCATTAAACAGATCTACATCAAATGTCAAGAAGTTATGATAGTTTTCTCTTTTTCTGTGAAGAAAGTTTCATCAGTAGTTAGCAGTGGGGTGGAAAGACATTAGCTTGGACAGTTACGTGTTTTTATGGTAGTTAAAGCATTTTGTTATTTAGCCTAGTGTTTGTTTTAGTTTTGTTTGTCCTAAAATTCTTACCAATAAGATAGGACATGACTGAGGGATGAGTGTAGCTGTGCTTGGATAGTGGCATTGATGTTCTAGAATGGAGTGAGAGAAAGGATGTGTTTTTTGGAAAGTAGATTTTCAATTTGTGGCTAAAGTTCGTGTGTGAATGGAAATCCGTTTCTTCAGAAGTATGTGCTTGCATCTAATTGAATTTTTGGCTTAGTTTTCTTTCTTACAACTCTGATACTACACTTTGGCACTGCTTTCTCAAAACGTAATTCTATAGGACTTTACTCAAAGAGTTGTCATTGGTGGGATTTTCCCTACAAGTTTCTGGTTGCCCTGATGAGTAGTCATTGTCAGAGCTGGCTATCATTGCTTGTTCCATTTGACTTTCAATTTCATTACTTTTATTTTATTTCATAGATATTCTTTGCTTTTTTTTTTCCTCTATTCATTATGTAGGTCTTCAGGAACAGCATGTCAAATTCAGTTTATACTGAATTGTTGACATTGAAAAATAGAAGCAAGGAACTGTCATACCTTTTATGTAAGGTTAAATTCCATCTTTGCTTCTTTCAAAAAAACCTTCCCAAATATCCTAGTGTATTTTGAACTTAGAATACTGTGCTTTTTTTTTTTTTTTTTTTTTTTTTTTAATTGCTATCTTGGTTGCTGTACATTAGAGCCCAAAGACATTTTCTTGTTTTTGACATGGTTTTTTTAACCCCACCCTTCAATAGAGTATTGATATTTAGAATAGGATGTTGCCATTCACTTTGAAGTATTTAAGTCAGGTGTGTGAACCTTCCAAACTGATGGAATTTTTGCTGGAAATTCTGCTATGCAAGCTGGTGACCTGTTTGTCTTAATACAGCTACAAAGGAGCAAAGGCCTTCATGCTATTGTGCTGTTTTCTGACCCTGACGTTAAGGGGTGGAATTGTATGGAATGCAACCTTTCTAAAAAATGGACACTGATTACTGATTTATTCTTACAGCTACAGTTCTACTGAATAAGTATTTAACTTTCATTAATTCTTATATAGGTTGTATTTTGCTCAACAGGTAAAAATGTTGAGCAAAATCTTTTCTGGCAAGCATGGCAGTGAACACTTCTGGGATTTGGAGGGAGTATTTTCATTGTAGAGGCACTTGAATATGCATTGACATAACTTCTTTGTTTATTGTTGTAAAGAAGTTTGAACTGTTGCTCTTAGTATTTTGTGGATAAATGCTTGTTTTGTGAATAAATAGAGGACTGTAGACTGGTAATCCAACACCTTCCTTGGGCTCTAACATTTATTAAGAAAAAATTTAAGAAGGAGTTAGTCAATGATTTTGTGGTATAAATTCCTTTGCATCCAAGAGCACAGTGGAGAAAAACTGTTTAAGAGGACTTTGCCAGGCTGTTGATTACTTGCTGCTCTTATAGGTTGGCTGTTAATTGAATGTGTGTTGTTTCTTTTTACTAACAGCTCTAGAAGTCTTCAGGGAATATTGAATGCCACAGAATGATAAGCTAATATTTACTGAGCCTTTAAAACAAGAAGGCAGTGGTTACTTATTTAATGAGGATCTGAATTAGTGTGTTGGAGGATATAGAATACTGTGATATAGTCAGATGATACTTGAATCTGTACTCTAGGCACTAGTTACTTTTCCAAGAAGGAAAATTTCAAGAAGACTAAATTGTATATTCCTGCAGTTGTCTTATTCTTGTCTACCTCTTTAAGGTCATGACAAATTAAAGATGTCATTGTAATCTTGACGTGCTAACTGTTGGGATTAAATGAAAAAAAACAGTTCTACTGACTCTTTCAATGCTGTAGTCTGAATCTGTATTGAATTTTATTTTGTGTGTGTTGTTAGTATTACTCTCACATAGCTGAAGGCAGAAGAATCTTCTCAGGATACATCCTCTGTGGTCTTCCCACTTTCCACAGGGATATAAATATATAAGTGTACTCATGCCATTTCTAGTTGCTTTTTTTCACCATTTGTTTTTTTTTTTTTTATTTTTAATCCTCCTGTGGCTTGTGTTCAGTGAAGTAAATGAAAATGTTGCCATAGGCTAACACTGACTTATTGAATTGTTTCCTAAACATATCTTCTGATATGGAAATATAATTCATTATATATATGACAGTGATAGGAATATAAATATGGCATAGAAACATGAAACAGTAAATCTTGTTTTATTTACTTAATAGGAAATCTAATAGTTGAAAAAATATTTCCTATTCATACCAGAGTGTTAATGCTGGAGCTCTGGTGATCGTGTTTTAATGCAAAAAAAGGGGTTGTTTTTCTGTGTACATTTGCCATTATCCTAATTTAGATCTTTGTTATAACCTTGTATTCACGGGCCTTGCCTATTCTCATATTTCAGAACTATTGGCATTATTTTGCTATTGCATTTTTGATTAAATGTGCTCTTAACAGCAATTTCTGATAACAATTGTGTGACTTATCTCTTCATGGCTTGATGAATGGAAAACTGCCAAGAAAAAACTCTTCTGGCCTCTTTTAAGTTTTCTCAGACAGTGTAAGGATTTTGTGAGCCTCCTAGTATTTTTTCTTCTCTATATAGGTAAAGAAATATTTTGATTATTTTTTCAGTAGTTAATTTAGTTAATTTGTATTTTTTGTTTAGAAATGTCATGTCAACAAGAGATATTTAAGTGTACGCTAATTTGTTGTTGGTTGTATTTTATATTTTTTAATATTTAGTATTATTTTTTCATAATACAAACTTTTGAATTATTTATGATTGTACTACTATTTTGTCTTTTTTTTTTTTTTTTTTTTTTTGGGCCTTCTTTCTTTATTTCTTTCCCTTCTACCCCACCTCTTTTTTGTCTTGAATGGAGACTCTAAATTGCTACTGACAGAATGTAAGTGCCTTGCTTCAGTAGTTTGCCTAGGTTAGCTGTGTATCCTTTCATCTGTATGTAGTAAAAGCTTATTATTAGGTAACAGTGTATTGGCTTGCTTTCATAAATCCACAGAATACCAATTGAAGAAATAAATTTTCAAATTTCTGCTGAAAGGAATGATTTTATAAATGTGCATTCTTAATATGAGTTTAACTTTTTTTTCCTGTGTGTAAGAAAGGACTCTTCCCATTTTAGAGTTCCTGTAATCCCTGATCCTGAAGCTGATGTACAGTGGCAGAAATCTTGCCCCACTTAGGAGGCCCCTGTGGGATTCTGCACTGTGCAGATTTCTGTTCTCTCCCAGAAAGTTGGTCTGGGATCATGGTGTTCCTTACCAGGGGAGGACCCTTGTTTTGGAAATGAATGCTTTTTAAATATACTAACATCTTCAGGTACAGATGGTGTCACCTAGATTGTGTCAGTTTGAGTATACTAATGATACCTCCTTCAAATCTGCACAATATTTTGTAATAGGACTGTTAGAGTATTTTTGAAATAAATGCAAATATGCACCTTGCTTCTTTTTGCATAAATTAGTAGCCTTTGCCACCTCCTGTTATTATGTTGAAACTGACTGGAGTGCTTGTCAATCCAAATCCATGAACACTGTTAGCATTCATTGATTTAAAAAGTGCTTAACTGTATTTCATACTTCTGGGTTAACATAAAGTTTGTTGCTGTTAAAAATGACAACTTAATTTGATACTGTTCTGTTTTAGACATCCTTAGCTACACGTTTTGCTCAAGAAACCTTTGGAAAACAGTACAAACAAACCTTAGGATTGGACTTCTTCTTGAAAAGGATATTATTGCCAGGTAAGAGAATAAAAATTAACACTGAAGGGTTGGGTGGCAGCAGGACTTGCAGAAACACATTCTTCAGAGTAATGTGTACTAAGTAAGCTTAGTGCAGTGATTTTTATGGCAAATTAGGTTGTTTGGAGAATATTTTGTTCCTGCTTTCTTGCCAGGTGTCATAGAGTTATGCATTTGCAACTTACATCTCTAAGTAAAACACTGAATTCAAGTAAAAGGAATGCTATCTATATTGATGAATTTTATAATCCCTGCTTGAGTGCACTCACTTTCCATGTGGGTAGTGTAACACACAACGATGAAATGGAACTTTAAACATATTAATTGAAAAAGTATATGTGTTTTGAAAGAAATACATATTTTTTTAAAATGAAATACACAACTCATATTTCAGTTGTGTGGGAGAAGCATAATGCAGCTATGGACTCGCAGTGCTCTAATATGTGAATGCTGTTTTATGCAAGGCAGCATGAAATTGCTGGCATTTAATAGACCACTAAAATTTAGGGTCCCTCGGCACTCATAAAAATACAGTTTGAGCATTCAAGATGTTTCACTTCACGACGGCAAAGAAACTATTTAGATACCAGTTGCAGCACACTGCATGGAAAATGCAAAGGAATAATTAAAAAAGAATAATTGCTGGTTAAGTTTGTCTCTGAACAATTGGGGTTTAAAATATGTCTTTTCACTGATTGATATGTGCTCATATTCTAAGCATGCAAATATTTAATTAAAAACATTTACTTCTGGATTCAGAAATCAGAAGTTAGAAAAAGTTAGTGTAATTATTAAGAACTTTAGTGAGATTTGATAAAGTTGATGCAAGTTCTGTCTTTTCCTTGTGAAGGGTGAGAAGAGAAGCAAATCCAGAAAGTAAGCATTTTATCTGTAACCTGAAGTTATAAGAAAATGTATACAGTTCTTCAACTTATATTTTAAAAAATTATATTGCAAATAATTTCTTGATTATGTTTATATATTTTCTTAAGTGAAACAGAATAATCTTTTCAGACTGCCGCTGTGTTCACCATTTTGGTTTGGCCATTTTGCTGTACTTTTTAGTATCTGGTGAATGATAAAGTACCAAATCCCAGCGCTTATTTCTCCATAAAATCAACAGAATAATTTTTTTGTTGTCCTGCTCACTCCTCTAAAAATACCAGTGTGTATAATACTTAACAGCAGTACTTGCAAGTGGAATGTGTACACAAATCATGCAGTGTGCATGCTGAGAACTTGTATTTTGCAAGTTTTTTTTCCAGCTGTTAAGCATAAAGAAACTATTAGTACATTACTGGGATTCTAAATATCCTTGTTGAGTAGAAAATTTGGAAAATTATCAACTGTTGCTTCATTCATTTTTGTTCGTAGTTTATATTGTGTGTGAATTTCATTCATTCATAGTTAATTTTGTAATAAAATCAGAATGCAGGTAAAAATAGCACCAAAAAGTCTGTACATCTGTTTTCCTCAAAACAGTAGCATTTGTATTCATATTCAGGAAGAAACATTTTTCTGTAGGTTGGCACTCTGGTTTTGCCTATACCTATATATGTGTTTAGGTACATGTGGCTCTCTGTTTCATAGGTAAACTGGACCAGTTGTGGGGAGTGAGAGGGAGGGAGGTAACATTTCTAAATACTGGAATAGGAAGCATTACTTTAGTAAGTGGATTATTTCTAATTTCTTGATTAGTTCTGGGTTTGCAGAGCTGCTATGTTTACTTGACAGGTTAATTGATACCACTGCACAGAAATTATGTGTAGCAGTAGGAAAAAAGACTTGTTTTCTCTTATTCAGTGGGAGAATTGATGAACAACTATGGTTCAGTAGTTGATTTTTTTTCTTCTTCAATGTAAGCAAAGTTTCCAGAAATTAAAATTACAGATTTCTAGAATTGCACAGCAGTTTGCATTTGGCTTCATTGAAATATATTATAACTTACAAAATAAAGTACTGTTTTTCTGTGGTTTTTTTGTTTTCTTTTAAATTATTTTTTAAGATAAAAGTGGCATTTGTCTCCAATTGTTTTAGTAACTAATGCAGTTTTGCAGTGAAAATAGTAAATATTTTGCATGGTAAAACAGTACAGTTTAATACAAATCAGAAACACTTTGATAAATTTTGAGTGTGTTCAGTGTTGTTCAACATGTGTCTAGTGTTCAACATGACAAATTCACTTCATTCAGTTTGTTCAAAATACTTTTTTTTTAGAGTGCTAATCAGTTTCATTATATTTGTTGATGCAGAATCTTGTATAGTCTGGATGCAACCGTGGTGTGGGTTTTAGTGCTTAAATAGCGTGTCTGTTAGTCAGAGGGTCTGCTGATAGAGACTCCTAAGAGCCATAGTTGTATACCTATTGGGAGGTTGTGGGTGCAGCTCAGTAAACAGGATTCTCCTGTTAAAAGGAATTTTTTTCAAGTCGTTGGTGTAAAAGGTGTTCAGACTTGTGTTTTCAGTTCCACCTTGACTGTGCAGCGCTGTAAGTCAGGTTAGCCAGTACCCCAGGGGTCCTCCTGCAGGGTCACTGCTGCAGCAGCCGGTGGCTTCAGTCCATGCCAGAAGCAATCTGCACGCCTGCCCTGCGCTGCGTGCTTCAGCTTCGCACTTGTGCGCGTTTTCTACAGACTAAAGAAGTGCTGGGGATTTTTTTTTCCTTAATAGTGTATTATGTGTTATTTTGATGGGACTCTTCTGTTATTTTTATTGGAGTGTTAAGACTGTTTCTAAGAACTGTCTTATTATGCATGGTTTCTTTTTGTTTTGTTGTAAGTCTCTAGTTTTTATGTTCCTGTTAAATTGAAAAAATAAAAGATTTCAAACTTCTTTCAGAAAACTTTGTGTGCTACTATCTCAGTTGTTAATTAAATACTTGCTAGATAAATTGCCTGCAGTTTTTCCTTTTGTCAGAATAATCCTAACACCCTTTTTTCTTCCCCATCATCAATCTGAGTACAAAGCAAATATTACAGAACCTAACTGAAAAAAAGGGAAAATGAAGCATTTTTCACAGGAGATGATCAGTGTGAATTTCATAGTTAGCGAAGTCCTTATTAAGACGGAGTTCATATTAAATGAACATACAAATCTCTTTTTTCCTTCCTGTTTCTTTTTTCTATTGTTAATGAGGCAGAGTAAATAATTTGTAATAGGAATTTTTTTTAGTTGGACTGTCACAGACTATTTAATTTAACTTCTAAAATGTCTAATGTTGCTCCATGCAGTTATCCAGATACTAAGGCCAGAATGCTGTGCATAATTATTTCCTTAGTAGGAGAAATTAAGTTGAAACTTTTAAGAGCACTTGAACACAAAATTAGGTATCTGAAAATTACTGACTTTGAAAGTGATAATATTTATAAAAGTTTTTTTTTTTTTTTTCCAAAATATCTGTCATGAATGACACTGTGACTTTCCAGAAGAATACATAGGGGTAGAATACTGCAGCATGGTGAGCCTTTGAGCCTGCATAGTTTGTTTACCCACTGAGGAGGTATAGTCTTTTTAGACTGAGGATGCCAGATGCTTTATGGAAAACTTTCCTGCATTCTTTATGATTACTTATGTTCTAATATTTTAAAATAATTGATTAATAATACATAGTACATGAACTATCAAAACAAATAAGCATTTTGTTGATTATAAATGGTTGCCTTGATTGAATTGGGGTGTTTATGATGTGTTTTGTAAGCTCCATGTAGAAATTCTCTTGGTATTACATGAAACTCAGAGTTGCTTAATAGTAGTTTCACATTCATCTCTGTATTTTTGAGACCAAGGTAGTAGTTTTGGGAATCTGCTCTTTTAACCAGATTAAAGCAAGGTCCATTATAAAAATATAATGTGGTACATGTAGTATCACTGGTAGCATATATTCAGCTATATAGTTATAATTTGCTGTTATTTTCACCTAGTACAGTGATACATTTCCATGGAGCACATTCCCTTGTGTAACCAATGCCAGTGTGTCACTTACAAATTTACAGCTGAATGGATCATGTGGGGTAAAATCAGATTGTCAACTACATAAAATAGTTGAATTAAGATTATATCTTAGCAAGCCAAAATAATGTATTCATTTTCACTTGATTTGCAATTGTTTTGATATGAAATTTGTTGCATTTTTTAAAATCAAGAAGTAAAATGAGTAGGCAGTTGTGATTGGTTCTGAGTATGTAGAATTTGTATTTACATGTAAGTGTCATGTGAAAAATTTGTCAGTCCTTACTCTGTTAGAGTTTGGTGCTCCCAGGTAATCAGTACAGATCTGAAAACAGTCCTTACCATGCAAAATGTGAGAAAGTATACTTCAATATGTTTGTATGAATATGGTACCATACCTTTCTCTGTATATTTTTGATCTGTGAATTGTCTTGCAGAATATGTATGATTTGTAGGATGTTAAATATTCTGCATTTACACTGATTTTTTGTTAGTTTTTAACAAAAACCCCTGGTAACAGTTTCAACATAGCTTAAAAATGGTTTAGAGTAAAAAGGAGGGTCTATTCTTGGTGTAGATTTCTTTGAAGATGAGACTATGTAAATCATGTTCAGTTTAGCTTCATGCCTTAAGGTGGTGAGTGGAGGAAGTAATCACAGTTTGCATCTTCAACTTTCAATTTTTTTACAGTTTTACATTTTCCATTTTTTTACAATTCTGTAGCTGTACACTGCTATCAGCATCACTAACAAAATGAAGTTATCATGAAGATTTTCCTCGCTTCTTGATTTGTAAGGAATATTTGGAGAGGGAGTGAGGAAGGGACACACAGTATGAAGTAATGTGGATAAGTTGGCATTAATTAGTGTTACCTTTCAGTTCCAAGTACCACGCTGTAGAACATTCTTCATGCAGTTTATATGTTTTGTCAGTGGAATGTGTTATATAATTTCTATTCAGGAGTGTTATACTTTATGCAATTCCAATTATTTTCTATTAATACTAGATATGTTAATAGCTAGCTATCCTTTTACTGTATCTTAGTGACTTAACCGGACACAAATTACTTTTTTCCCAGATGATACAATACTTTTTGTTTCAAAATTTAGTTCCTGTTTCTTGTGTACTTGTTAAAAGCTATTGTTGTTGAATATATTTGTATCAAAATTTTCCAGGTTACACAATATCTGTTTTTTTTTTTCCAGGAAATCTGAATGTTACTCTTCAAGTGTGGGATGTAGGTGGACAAACAATAGGAGGCAAAATGCTGGATAAATATATTTATGGAGCTCAGGTACAGTATAAATGCTGATAATTATATCTTATAGCAATGATATAAAATTAATTGAAACTTTGTTCTTAAAATTATACATATATACATACATTATATATAGCTTTTAGTTGATTGATTCATGAATCTCAAAAATGTTGAATGTCTGTTCGATCTAAACTTAATTCATATTAATACGCTACTTTAATTTTGGTGTGTAGCTAATTTTTTAGAGCTGACATAAAAAGCAAAGAAAGTGTGTGCATTTATAGAACTGAATAACTCCCAAGAACAGATGGTTGTTTTCAGGCTTTGTGTCTTGAGTTAAGAAAAGCAATCACAATAAATAGTAAAGGCTATTTGGATATCCACATGGTAGATAGAGTGGCTGCTTTCAGAACAGCTGCCTCCTGGGGGGAAAAGGTAGAACGAGGAAATTAAGAGCAATCCTACACCATTAAACTCATACATGCAACTGGGGTTATAAGAGGGCAAACAAAAAGAGACAACCAGGTAGCTAAATATTTTTGCAGAACTCCTGTCCAATGAAAATTAAGTTTATCTTTAGGTTAACTAAGCAATTTGAAGTGGATGGTAGGATTAAGAACTAAGTATTATAGCTGCATCTTGAGTCATGAGATGATTTAGGAGGATGTATTATAAATGCCAAACTTCTTAGCATGAGTGATCCTAAAATGTGCTCTGTTCCTTGAAGTTTGTAATGACACCAATAGACATAACTTGTGCTATTAGATAATGTTATACAACACAGGAATGGCTGATGAAAGAGATTAGGATTTATTAGTTAGCTGAATAAAGAGAAACTTGTCAATGTAACATTTTGTCACTTTCAAAAAAAGTCAATGTTTTTAGCTGTTGCATCTGTTTATAGCATATTCTTGTTTTTTAATAAAACCTGATTTGCTAACCTGTTACAGACCTAGAAAGCAACAGGAGAAAGTGGCTTCCTTGACAGAGGGAATTTGATTAATCACAAATTGTTGCCATATGTCCAAAGTAAATTTAATGAAGGAAATAAAAGGCTATTAGCTTTGTCTGTATTGAATTTGGTGATAAACTTAGGAGTGTCTTACCACAAATAGCAGGTCAAAGAGTTAATACCAGTGCCCAAAAGTGTATAAGCAATTGGTATCAATAAGACTAAAGTTTGGTTTTTTTTTTGTCATTCAGAACACATTAACCAAAAAACCCTATGTCCAAACTCTTTGTCTTAAATCTTCCTCCAGTCCTCATTTTAACCCAAATTTTTTTAATGGACTAGTGATTTTTCTGTCTCAGTGTTGGCATGTATTGCCAGTGTCTGTAAGAGGCTTCTTATCATCAAAGTTCATTTCTAACACACTTTTCTATTAGCTTTGTAACAGTGCCTGTTAAAGATGCATAAAATTGTATATATTTTCATCTATTAATGAAATGACATGAATAGTTTGAAAAGGCACTGCTTTCAGCTTATTTCTAGGCATAAGCTTATGTCATGTTGAACATCTGTACCTTTTTATAAGAAAAAGAGGAAAAGCAAAGTAGAACAAGTAGGGATATTTATAAAGGTAAATCCTTTTAAATATGGATAAAAATTCCTGTGAATGGACAACAAAACAGCAAGAAAGTAACCGGGAAGAGGTAGCATGGAGTTTGTAAAGGTAAAATGTGCACAGCCAGCTTGATTGTTGGTTGTGGTTAGGTGGTTAGCTGTGTGGAGAGGAGAGCAGTGGATGTAATTTATCTTCACTTCAGCAGGGCCTTTGATATAATCTCCCATAATATAATTACAATATATAGAGATATAGGTAGAATGGGTGGACCATAAATTTACTGAAAATCTGAATGGACAGCTAGATTTAAAAGTCTACAGCTCAGTGTCTTACTGATGCCTGATTATAAGTTTTATTTCTTAAGGGTTGGTATTGGAGTTGTGTCTTTTACTAATTCTTTTATCAAGGGAACAAAACATTGTTTGTAAGTAAGTTTATCAATAGCACCAATTTGGGGAGGAATGGTCACTGTGCTGGAGTGTAGGGCTGCTACTGAGAGAGACCATGACCAACGGAAGGAGTGGACCAACAGAAACCTTGTGAGGTTCAGCTGATGACAGATGCCAAGTCCTGTACCTGGTACAGAATATTCTTATGCAGCTGGGAATCAACTGGAGAATGTGCAGTGAAGGGCCACAAAGGTGATTAATGGTCTGGAGCATCTCTCCTATGAGGAAAGGCTGAGAGAGCTGTGACTGTTCAGCCTGGAGAATAGAAGGCTAATCAGTACATATACACCATGCAGGAAGGATGCAAGGAAGAGAGAAACAGGCTTTTTTGTGTAGTGTCTGTTGACAGAACCAGACAATAGGCACAAACTGACACACAGGGGATTCCTTCTTTGGGTGACACTGCTTGAACAGGATCATTGAACCAAATGACTTCTAGAGGTCCCTTCCAACCTCAGGCATTCTTTGAAATGATTTTGGAGGAAAAAGCTCTTGGATGGATGTCTTATTGAGGTGAAAAAACAGTTGAATGTGACTTTGCAATGCATCCTTGCAACAGTAAAAGCTAATTGAGTACTGATCTATGTTAGTAAGAATGAAGTAGTCAAATCAAGGAAAGTGAATATCATGCTCTCTGACTTTTTTGAGGCTACCGTGTTTTGAAGTACTGTGTTCAGTTTGGGGTTCCCCAGTGCAAGAGAGCCTTTAAAATAGTGAAGTAACTTGAGTGAAGGTAGCTACAAAAAAAGTGTATCTGCCTATGATGAGCACTTGGTCAGCATATGTGGTGCAGCTGGGATTTTGGACTTGTTTATAAAGTACACAAGCTGTGTGGATACAGATAAAGCAGATTATTTGGATCTGCTGCAGAAATTGTGTTTGTCTGTGTATTCTTCAAATCTAAATAATTCAGATTTAAAGTACATGTGTGGAATTGCTTGTAGCATATCTATGGCATGTGTTGTGCCTTTATCCAGTATGTGCAGATGCCCATAGCCTTGTGTAGATTTCAGTCTGTTTGATCATTGTGAGATTCGGAAATCAAAAGCTGCTAAATTCTTATTTTTGTATATGGCCTACTTCTAAAATCCTATGGCCAGCTGGGGATGGAAGTTTAGAGAATCTCCAGCAACTGAAAAGATTATGGTCTGCAGTTCACCTGATCTTGGTTGAAATTTGATTAGGACATCAACAAGACTAAATGAAGCATCCATCTAAACTTCACTGGAAAAACTTGCCATTAGAGGTGTCTTTCTAATGAGAGATGAATCAATTCTCTAGGATAGATCTTTTGGTTAAGCTACTGTTAAGATGCCATATTTTGATTGAGATCCCCTATTTCTTGTGCCATGTTTTAAAAAAAGAATGGCAGATTTGAGCATGAGGAAGTTGCATTGGTTGCAGTTGGAGAAATTGCAATTCACTTCTATCTTTAAGCAGTTGCTTTCTCCCTGCACCTTTTTCATTTTTTCCTCTGATATTGCTAATTTAGAACAAAGTAGTTACTGCATCCTATCTTGGTAGCTGAATTTCAGTGGTGGGGCAGAAGAACTCTGCAAGTTATGGGGAAAAGAATTTATCTCAGAATTGAGAGATGCTTAGAGTAACTGTGTAGTCAGTTGCCACAGCTGTACTGATAGAGAGTAAATCATTCAATTATGACAAGTTAATAACTTAGTCACATGTATTTGAGTGACCACGTCCTCAGTATCAGCAAAGACAGGAGTGGTTAAGTATGTGTGGACTGTAAGCTGCTTTCATTTGCAAAAACTCTGTTTTCATTTGCACATTTCTGCAACAATTAAGTTGCTTTTTCCTAAATTAATATTCTGTGGCTAGAAAAATACTCTAGAATTTTGGCCTGGCTTATTTTATAATATTAATGAAAATTTGAAAGTTTAGTTCCTTGATGCAAAAGTCAGTCATAGGATGAGGGTAGCTGAAGATAAATGAAGAAGAAAATATATGTTTTTAATTATTGTTTTCTCTAGCTTGCTTTTATTGTGACAGATCTTGACATAAACTTGGCATGTCTTAAATTTTGATTATCAGTACAAATATGTTGCCTGGTTACAACACTTCCATACTAGCACTTCAGTTTTGAAAGAAGGCTGCTGCTGTTTGCATGGTAAATCTTTCAGAAGCACTCCCATAGCTTACCTGTAATTGCTGCCCCTACCCACATATCTAGCTTAAATTATCTTTAAGATCTGGCGTATGCTACATCATAAATTGGCTTGTTAATAGGAGTACTGCAGACTCTACTTTCTCCAGGGAGCAGCAAATAATTTCTGTAATATTCTCAGTTTCCAGTGACCTATTTTTGAAAATGTTCTGTAATTCCTAAACAAAAAGCACTCACATGTGCACTAACATAGGCAAAATGTCTCTCTTAGTAGAGTGTAATTATGCAAGCAGGGACTATTCACCATGTTGCTGGAGACTAGAGAATCAATATGCTGTTCTTGGCATGTCATCTACCATGTGTTTCAAACCTTTTTCATGGCAGGCAAATACAGTACTTTTGTGTAAAAATGCCAGTGTTAATTTTACTCCTTAATTCCTCACACATAATAGGGAAACAACAGCTTTTATGCTGTCTACTTGGTCTGTACTGCATATACTGTAAGTTTGTGGAAAATATGATGTATTTTTTTTTCTTTTTTTGAAAGCAATTATGGAATTTCTCTGTTAAATAAAAGAAAAGGATATAATAAATTTTACCCATGGATTTGTGACTAGTTCTTCATTAATTACCTATATTAAGTTGCTTATAGAGTGCTGTTGTGGTGAAAATCTAAGCAGAAAGTATTCTTCATGACCTGGATGCCATGCTGCCTTTTTTTACATCTATATGGTGTTATACCTGCCATCTATCTTTTTTGCAAGTGCAGCAAATATTGACAAGAGTAAAAAAAAGTTTAAGAGAAGAATGTGCTTTAGAAGCAGTGTTTTAGATCACAGAGAAAAGGACCAAAAGGAAGTTAAGTCAGCTCTAGTTGCAAACTTTGTTAAATGATATCTTTGATGGTAAATCCACTGTGAATACCCTTTCATCCAAAGGGGTAGGTAGGCTACAGTTGTCTAGAGAACATGAGGCAGAGTAGAATTTTGATGAAGAATTGGTTAGAAAGAGTTGGCAGACCTAAAATGCTCACACTTTTTGATTTTTTCTCCATCAAAGTCTGATTAGTGTTGAAGATGGTTTAGATAATCTGCTCTTCTGCAAGCTGGTGAGAGAACTTGACAGCTAATGAAAGAAGCATTGCCGTGTGCTCTTTTCTCTTTTACAACTTCCAGCATTGTGGCTGGAATTTTTTTTTAACCTTTACCATACCTGTCCTTTAGATTGAGTTCCTTTTCCACTGAGCATTTAATAACATAAGTATGTCCTTCCTAGAGCAAAACTTAGATTGTGAGACAATTTAATTTAACAATTTAATGCCAAGTGCCCAGGCATTTGGGTAGTTATAAAAATAGTCAGGAGGAATTAACTGAGATTAACTTAGAGATACAAGATATTAAGTAATAAATTGCACCAAAATTGGAGGAGGGAAGTGGATGTTTAATTTTATATTTGATTAGTAAAGAAGGAAAGATAGCAAGGGGAAAGTTGTGTGTCATAATTCTTAATTTCCCTGAAGGAACTGATGAAAGCTGTTCCTCAGAAATTAATAGCAACTATATAAGGAACAAAAACTCAGGTTTGCCAAGGAGTTGGTCACATTGGAGGAAATGAGATAGATTGGTATTGCTGTCTTAAGGAAGTAGGAGTTGGAGGGATCTCAATAGGATCTGTTACCCTCCTTCGAAGCTATCCATGTGTAGTGAATTTTATCGACCTTCAAAAATTTTTTCGGTGTTAGTGACTGTTATAGGTGGTGTATTTCAGAGCTTTGCCATTCTTACAGTCTCCATAGGGTTTTTTGTTTTGTTTGTTTGCTTGTTTTTAGTACTCTTGCTATAGTCTTCTTGCTGTGAGTTAAACCTATCGCTACGTGTTGTATTGATCACAGATTCATAAGAAAGTTCAGGGTGGAAGGATGTCAGGAGGTTGGAGTAAAACACTCTGTAAGTAGGGTCGACTGAGAGATGGAGCTAGGCTGCTCAAGGGTCTATGGAGTTCCTGCTTGTAAACTTCTAAGGATGGAGACTGAGCAACCTCTGGTCAGCCTGCTTTATTTTCCTCATGGTGAAAAAGCTTTTCATTAGTTATGGTTTGAATTTCTCTTATTTCAGCTTATGCCCACTGAGTTTTATCCTGCTGTTCACTGCTGTGAAGAGCCTGGCTCCATGTCCTTCATTGCTTCCTCATGGGTATGGGAAGACTGCTTTTAGGTCTTCCCAGGGCTGCTTTCTCTCCATGCTGAAGAATTTGGGTTTGTTCATCTCTTCCTCATAAAACAAGTGCTCCAGCCTGTGATCATCTTACTAGCCCCCTGCTGAAGTTCCTCCACTTTTCTGATGTCTTGAGGGGCCTAAAAATGTGTTCTGACTGGATGTGTTCTTTTAGATATGATCCAACAAGTGCTGAGTAGAAAAGTTTGCTGTACTTCTGCTAATGCAGCCCAGGATCATGTTGGCCATCCTTGCTGCCAGGGAATGTTGCTGGCTCATGTTGCAGCTGGAATAGCTGCTAGTAAAGTCCAGGGTAAGGAAGCAAAAAGGGCCTTTGCATAGTATCCACGGATGTTTAATTTAGCTGTGTGGTGAGATGTTCAGGGTCCAAGGGCAGGACTCATTGGGAGAGTCCAGATCCCTGTGTATCTAGAGGTGGGGGCTGAACTGTGGTATCAGGGCAGTACAAAGATGAGGGCCAGTGGGTGAATAGGGAGGGAGTGGCTGAGGGACGTAGGAGCACGGGAAGGAGCCAATGGGGTTGAACAGCTCTTGAGGGAAGCTTCTTGTGTCTCTAACCAAGGGAATGTGTCTCAGGGTCTCCACAGGCTTGGATTTGGCCTGCTGTCTGACAAGACCTGCAGGTCATTTTCAGTTGTTCTCCAGGCAGTCATGTATTACTCCCCTCAGCCTGTATTGCTCATTCCTTCCCAGCTGCAGGACTTTGCACTTATCCATGTTGAATGTAGAAAGGTTCCTGTTCACCCATTCCTTGAGCGTGTCTACATACCCCTTTGTGGTAACCCTGCCCTCGGGCACATTGGCTGGTTTTCCCAATTTAGTGGCTTCTGCAAACTATGTGTAAAAGCATACAGAAAGAGAACTGTCATCTTCTCTTAAAACTCGTACCAGCATCATCATGCCTACCATAAGTCATGCGTTTGTTGAGGCAGTTAGGTTTCTTTTCCCACTTTTTTCATGTCAGTCATGGTTTCCAAACCTTTGATACTGTTTACTGGTTTCTTCTATTGTACCCTTTTTTGACATTCAAGTGTCCAAAGATGGATGCATTATTTCACCTGGAATGTTTTATGCCAGTGTGATATTTGCAAAATAAGCTTGACATATTCAGCTGTGAGCTGTAAAACCTTGATCCTATTATATGGAACCTGCTACAGAGCCAGATGCTTCCTACTGTGTACTTGATTATTGCTTCCTTTGAACTTGTCATGGTATTTATGGAATTGCATCTTACTATTTTTACACTGTTTGTTATCATAAAGTCTGAACTCTTGTCAAATACTCTTGCAGTCTATATTAATTTGTTGCCAAATGTGAAATTATTAAGTGTACACTCTGTTTTGTGATTTAAAGTACTCCTTATGATCTAAAGCACTCTTTTTAACTATCAATTAAAACTGGGCCCAGACAAAAGCCTGAAAAAACTTGAAAAATCTTTTCTATTGACAGTAGGTCATCGACCCAGCTATTTTTGTGTGGATCATACTGTTTTTTCAGAATATTTTTGAAAATTTCATGTGAGAAACAGTGTGCAGATGTAGGGGTTTTTTTGCTAGGTGTGAACTCCAAGAGAACAAGTGTACCTGAAACCAATTCTGACTTTACTCCTCATTTACAAGATACTAACTTTAATAGGGTGTAGTGGAAAGCAGGGGCAGAAAACTCAATAAGAACTGAGAGCTGATCTTAGAATTGTGGAGGGGATGGACGGGGATGACATTTGGACTGTTAATAGGCTGTGCTTTATTATTGGATATTTGTGCTGAGGAAACATCAGCAGTGTCTGCTTTAAGTGTTTGTCACCTGTAGCTTGCCCCAAAACCTCTGAAATATATGGGAGTCCTTTTTGAGTTCTCACCATGTCTTTAGGTACTCTTTTGAAAGTTTAAAGCTCGCCAGTACTTCTTACTTATCTTCTGCAACACTGAAGGAATGGAATCTGGCCTTTAACCCCAAAAGACAGCAGAAACATGACAATGTGCAGAAATGTAAAATTGAATGGCGTTTTTTTTTTTTTTCCAAAAAAAGAGCATTGAAACTACAACTAATATTTGTTAAAATAAAAGACCTTTTCCAGTGTAATTTTTATCTTCCTTTTCGTGTGAAATGCTATTTTGGGTTTATCATAAAGCATATGCAGTTTGTAATATTTCTGATATAACTAATTGTGCTCTTGACTGTGTTGCCATTTTTTTTTTCCTGAAATGTGCATTTGGAACACATGAAATGCAGGAGAAATACTGTAATAATGTATATAGTATAGAAATTTATAATTCCTTTAACTGAGCCTCAAAAGATATGATGCCATTATTTGTCAATGCTCTATTCTATGACAATAATAATTTAGACTGGTGCAAATCTTACCATGCTAAATTCTTTTATAATCTGTAACATTTTAAACATGTCTTTTTATTTAGGGCATTCTTTTGGTTTATGATATTACCAATGGCCAGAGTTTTGAAAATTTGGAAGACTGGTATAATGTGGTAAAAAAAGTGAATGAAGGATCAGAAACACAGCCACTTGTGGCCTTGGTTGGAAATAAAAGTAAGTTACTCATATTTGCATATTAATTGAAATACTGTGGATGTGGTTTGCTATCAAAGAAATGACATAAGGTGTGTATATATATATATATATATAATATATATATATATATTTAGCAAAATGCAACTAAATACTATCATGTGTGTTTTTGCTGTGTAAAGATGACATATTTGGGTATACTTCAGGGTTATGGCTTTGGGCAGATAGGTTATATTATGGGACTTGCTGCATCATGCTTTGCCTAGCCTGCAGCCTCTCTCCCTGTGTCCTCTTGGCTTGGAGAGCAGCACACAGGAGCAGGGAGATCACTCACCCATGTTTGAATTTGATAGTGTCCCAGGATATAGCCATGGCAATGGAGCATTTCTGGGTGTAGTAAAAGGTGTATTTCATGATTCTGTATGTTAAGAGACTGCTGGATTAACTACTGGTATATGTTTAAAAAACTACACTATGCATTAGGCATAATACTGAGGAGTTGCTTATCAGACTTTTTTTTTTTTTAACGTTATCTGTAGTTGTGCACATGAGGTGATTTGTGTTGTTTTGGGATTTTTTTAAACCTCCTTTTTGTGATCACATAAGTATGATATAATGGTTTTCTTCTGACCACCAAAATATGTCACTTTATATAATCATCACTTAGATAGTTTCCTAATTATATGGATTCCAAACTTCCCCGTTTCCAACAAAAAGTCTTACATGAACATCCTTATTAGCATATCTGATGTCTTCATCCTGGCTTTCGTACCCCTTTTTCTGTTGAAGATGATAAAAGCAACATATAAAAATTTCAGAAACAAAGTGGTGGAAGTGGATACATAATTTTTAAACAGTCTAAATATGTTATTTGAATAACAGAAAAAGATTTGATTTTTTTTCACTTTCCAAATAATTTGTTTCTGTGTTGCAGTGACCATGTCATGAACAAACCTGAAAAAAGGACTTAATCCAGCAAGTTAGAATTATTTAAAATAATTTGAAAACAATGTAGAGACAACACTTTCACTCAGAACCATTAATTGTAGTATTGCTACAGTGGTGCTGTAGTATTTTATGACATTAATTATGACAGACTAATTTCCTGTGAAGAAAACAGAGAAGGTCTTAGAGTTACAATATATAAATAGCACTTCTGAAAGTGTAACACTGACAGTGTTGTACTCTAGCAGACCAGAGTCAATAATAGTCAATAATACAGATTCTGTTGAAATTCAAATGAAAAATATTTTTCACTGGTTTCTATTTTATCCTAAATCTGGACTTCTAGCTAGAATTCTGCAAATCTTATGATGTATTTGCAGTGAGATACTCTGTAACATAGCATAAACAAATGTTTATTTGCTGAACTGGCACAACAGGTGTAGAAAATGATATACTGGTTTTGTTTTGGAGGCGTTTTATTTCTGTTTTTTTTTTTCACATATCCCACATGCCCACAAATATTTACTATCCAATGTTTCCGTGGGAGCATCTGGAGTAGAATCTGGTTTCCTAGGTGAGTTTTCAGACAAATGCTGACACTAACTAAAGGGGTTTCATTTTATGAAAATAGCAGATGAAGGAACTGCTTGCTGCCTTGTTTTCCTTCAGAAGCTGTGTATAAAGAAAAACAGCAAAATATTGATTTCATGTGATGCCAAGGATGTTGTTGTTGGACATGTTGAGCATGCAGGGGATACTGTTTACAGAGGGATGTTTTTGCTTTATTTTTATTTCAGCATGATAAAAATTAGACTTGGAAAGTATGCTGCTTTTCTGAATTCTGTAGTAGAATATGTAGGAGAGCTTCCACCCCAGTACTAAAAAATTAATAGTAGGCTCCTGTTGTTACATAAATACAAAACAAGGTGTTTATATAGAAGCATGGTGTTGACTCTCAGATACTATGAAGAGATAAAACTACTGGTACTAACAAATTATTAGGAAGGAATCACTCTGTTCAACTTCTTTACTTAGTAAGTGATAAAACACTCATATGCAATGCAAGAGCAATAATAGGTTAAGAGCCAGGAAAAGCCATTTGATGAATTGATGAACTTACTTGACCTCATGCATCATTTAGAAGAAATACTCCAGTGAGTGGTTTCTGTCTCAGGATTGTACTTGGTTTTTTTGAGCTGTTCATGTCTTTTAGGAAAATATCCAGGTAAGCTCACTGAAAGATTAGAAATGTCAATATCCACAGGCAAATTATTCTAACACTTAACTTTCTTTCTGATAAAAGCTTTTAAAATTTGCCAAGAATGCAGTTATTTTCATTCATAGCATTTGGAAAGTTTGGGCCAGTCATTAGATACCTTGATAAGAATTTGGAAGCTCAGCCTCTGTTTTGAAACTTTGGCGTGAAGTTACTTACTTGGGCTGTCCTTTGTCTGTTTTCTCTTAGTAATACTGTCTGAAATACATGTGTATTTTTTCCATTTTGGGGGAGATATACCTGGATTTTCTCTCAGAAAAAAAGCTATAGCTTGGAAGAAAACAAAAATATTTCTCTACAGAATATGATACAGAAAACTGTACACTTGAATTCTATTAAATGAAAATAATTTCCCTGGGTAATTTTGTCATTGAAAGCAAATTATTTGATACATAGCAGTATATGGTGCATAATTGTTTACTACTGTTAAGTCATGTGGTTTTGTACATGATTTATTAGTTGTTTCTAGTATCAATTTGTAATAATTTTATTCAATGTTAAGTTTGCGGGGATTTTTCTAGTATTCCATAAAATTTGAAGAAATTGTTCAGTGCTGATTTAAATGAATCAGTGCTTGTTTTCACTGTTCTGGTTTATTGTGCATTGCAGTGGATTAGCAGCGTGAACACAGTAAGCTGCTGTGTCTGTTTAAAGCATGATAATTAGCTTCAGAGTGGTGTCAAGCTATTAAAATGTCCTGTTGTGATTGCAAGAGGTTAAGATTTATTCACAAAACACTGGAAAGGTAATTTCTACTTAAAAAGCTCCTATCAGTTGCTGGTATATCATCCATCAGAGATTTATTTGAAAATAGTAGAGCAGTATGAATTGTTACCTAAATTCTGGAATTCTGGACCTTCCCGCCTATCTTTTTTTATTTTACCTTTTTTTTTTTCCCCCCCTGATTTTTTTTTTGTTTGTTTGTTTGTTTGTTTGTTTTTAGGGTAAAGTGTGTCATTGCCCACTGATTTATTCAAAAAAATTGGGAGAGCAAGAGCTTCAGAAATGCAGATCTCTGTTGTAAAACCAGGACTTTATTTAAGCTGTCTTTGGTCCCTCTGGGTGCTTAGTTTCAGTTTTCATTCTTTTTTCCTTCTTGTACCTTTTTTCTTTTTTTTCTATAGCCTGTCCTCCACATTTGATCAGAGAGTAGAAAGCTGATTTGAATCAAGATCTTGCCCAGACCTGCTTTCTGCACTGATGTTCGTCTTTCCATAGATTTTTGTCTGTGCATTTGATGAACAACAGAAGGAATTATAAAATTTAATGTAGAACCATTTTGTCCTATTAATTCTAAGTCATAAGGTCTTAATAATCCTGAACTTTACAGCTGATATTGAATCTTAAATTTGATTTTCCTAGTAACTTGTGTTGTGTTATTTTACTCTTATTGAATATAAAGTATATTTGAAGTGTGCTTATATCTCTGTTGCTAGTACTACTTGCTTTGCACTCTTAATTGGGGAGTACACCCAATTAAGAGTGCAAAGCAAGTAGTACTAGCTTAGTAGTACTAATCACTGTTAATTTTAACTTTACATTTTAGATTTTCTATGCAATAACTCAAAACTTTTGTATATATATTGCTGTCAAATACTTTGATTTGTATGGTATAAATGAGGCTATAGTTATCAAGTGAATGAATTGTGTTTTGTGCACTTATTATCTTTGCTTAAATTAGGTGTTGATAAAGTTCAGTGAATCACAATGGATCTTCTAGTCATTAAGTGTAAGTTAGAGAGGGTTTACCATATTTCATATGATTGATATGTTTGCTTCCTTTCTACCTTGATGGCTTTATGTATTTTTTTCTGCACTAATCTATAAGCAGTCTCCTCAAGTGTCATGCTAGCATTTTCAGTGGATATATTGTAAACAAAAATTAACCCAGGTTGCATGGGAGCTATACTCATTTTGATTTATAGCTACCAAGATGGTCTTAGGGCGGTGGTTATCTGTAGTTTATATAGGGGGTAGGAATTATCAGGTACTGGAGTATAGTGCCTAGATGAATGATTTCTGTTCTTAGAGATATTAACCAGATCCACTCCTCAATAAAGACTAATAACTCAGATTTTTAAACAATCTTCATGACAGATGAGGGCACAGAGGAGAATGCATCAACACTAATTAAGAATGTTGACCGTTTGTTCGTCTTAGCCGTGATTAATTGATCTTGGAGTGCTGTCTCTGAACAGGAAGTGGTATGCTGTTACATTGTGAAGTTTAAAGGTTACATTTCAGTATACTCTTTAACTTGCCCTTACATACAACATGAAATGTTTTTACCTATCTTATCTGAACGCAGAAAGAAACATTTTCCAGTCCAGATACAAATTAACATTTGGTGTTTTGTGTACTAATGTGAATCTGGCTGGTCATGGGACTTGCCCCATCTGCTTTTTGACTCTGTTGCTGCATTATATACTTAGCCTTCCCCGTTGTAGTCAGAAAATTTCTTTATTAATACTCACTTTGATAATCTGTTTCATTTAAATTCAGAGTTGTGCATTCATTCTCTTGTCCCTCCCAACCAACCCCAGTTTTCTGTTCTTGCTTCCCGTGGGCTTGCCCTTTTAAGGTCCTTCACCTGTAATTAAGACAAATGTTGAGCAGCTAATGCAAAGACCCCTGTTCTTTAGAGTCTTATGCCTGATTAAAGTAAAGTTCCTGTATGCCCAACAGCAGGTCTGGTCACCTGAGCCTTACACATGCTTTTGGGATTGGAGGGTAAACTATTTACCTGTAGAGACTCCCTTAAAAAGAAAACCTTGTTTGTTGCTACAATCATTTTACCAAC